TCTGGTTCCGAGCCAGGAAGTTTGTTTACTTCCTGCAGGAGGAGGGACTTCAACCATCAACCAGCCATGGGCGTCACGGCAACGATCAAACAACGATCAAAACAACGTTTGTTTGTTTGTTTGTTTGTTTGTTTGTTTGTTTGTTTCTTTCTTTCTTTCTTTCTTTCTTTCTTTCTTTCTTTCTTTCTTTCTTTCTTTCTTTCTTTCTTTGTATAGCAGGGGCGGAGCTAGAGGGTGGCCAAGGGTGGCCATGGCCACCACAGACAAATCTTTGGCCACCCTGCTGTACACACATCTTCCACAGTGAAACCATCTGTGTAATAATGTAATAATTGTAATAATGGTGTAACAATATGGTGTAATAATCCTCCTGAACAGTTGGTGGCAGTGTTTAACAGTTTGAAGCATCACCCATCTCTGTCACTGAAGAAGAAGTGATAGTTTTCTTTATTATACAGAACAAATGCCTATGTAATCTGACTTATCAAAAAGAAAAATAAGTAGGTCCTCTGGATGGGTTCTTCTTTTTTTATTCTTACTCTTCTTTTTTGAAGTTCTTTATTCTTGTTTTTTTTTTCTCGTTGTTTGCCACTTCAGTAGAAAGCAGTACTGAATATCTGAATATTAGTATCTTAGCTTCTTCATCATCAGTGCCCCCCCCCCCCTATTTTTTTTTTTAATGGGTTCTTTTTTAGTGGAACATTTCATCTTTCCTCCAAGAGACTTCTTCAGTCTGACTTAGGGTGACAACTTTCGTACTTGTGGTGACTTTTTTATGTTCTGAAGCTGCATGATGCCCTGTCGCTTTTGGTTATGAGTAGGCCTATCGCTAAATCATAAAAAGTTAAACACATCTCTAAATTCACTGTTGGTGGTTATCAATATCGCACCTGTTAATTGGGTAAAATTGTTAATATTAGTTTTAAACATGCAGTTGAGGGTCATCATTATTTGGCACATTTGACATGTGTTACAATTAAAAATAAATCAATAAACAATATAAACGTGAAAGACACCCCTAAAGTCATTGGATATGATAAACTATGTCACATTAATTAATCTTATCTCAGCCACAGCGGTGAGTTTAAAAACAGGATGATTGAACTAGATTAATGAAGAATGTGTTTTGAAATATTTATTAAATCAAGTGTTTACTTATGTAGGTAAAAGTATGTTAAATAACCTGGTAAAATACACCAGAATGCTGGAAATGGCATCTATTTTGTTCAAAATTTTCTGGGGGAGGACCCCCACACCCCTCAATGGAAGCTCTGTGTCCGGGTCTCTGCCCTGTTCCGTAGGAGTTCCCCAGGGTAGCATACTGGGCCCATTGCTTTTCCCATTATACATAAATGACCTTCCAAAAATATTGAAGAATGCAAATATTTTAATGTATGCTGATGATACAAATTTGTTCAAAATTTTCTGGGGGAGGACCCCCACACCCCTCAATGGAAGCTCTGTGTCCGGGTCTCTGCCCTGTTCCGTGGGAGTTCCCCAGGGTAGCATACTGGGCCCATTGCTTTTCCTGTTATACATAAATGACCTTCCAAAAATATTGAAGTATTCAAATATTTTAATGTATGCTGATGATACTGTTCTTTTTTTT